ATGGAATAAAGAAGAAATATAAAAGAAAAAAAAAAAAGGGGGAAAAACCCTGAAAGGGTATTTTGTTTTCCTCACGTACGAACGGGAACTTGCAAAAAGGGAAATCAAATGGAGAGATTTTGTGAAAAGAAGGGAAAGGAATGTGTCGAGGGGAAGAAATGGATAGTTTTTCGAAGGGAAGGTGTAGATACGGACGGAACATTCCGTCGGATTTGTAAGTGTTAAATTATATCAAAAATAATTGATTTAACAGTTATAAATTTTAACGGAATAGTTTCGTAATCAGACAGTAGCATCACCCCATTAAAGTAATGCTCATATTCTTGCTCATTTAATTATTTTGCCACTTTTTTCGAGTTTAATTTAGGTTTAAAAACTATGTCGTTTATTTTATTACAACTAGAATAATAATATAATAATGGTTAATGATAGTTGACAGACAAATTACAACCTTCATAGAATGAGTTAATTGCACATTTGATCATTGTAAATAAGTTACGATCTTGTTCCAATATGACCATCCGAATACAAATTTATAATTTTTTTTTTTTTAATTCATACTCTAAATTCAACTCAATTTTAATTCAAACTCAATATTCTCAATATAGTTAAATAATATTGTTCAATCATTTTTACACAATAAATCAACTTTAATTTACTATTTATCCACTCACATAATTTTTCACTATCACTTCACAACATCTCAACAATTTTCAATATTATTTCATTATAAACTCAAAATCTCACTAATAACTAACTATACCATATTTTTAAAAATTAACCTTAGTTACCAAAAAAAAAAAAAATTAAATCATTTTAAGTGGATATATTATATATATACAAACACATGCAAGTGAAAAATTATTCTCACATTTCGCTTAGGTTTTTTTTTAGGTGGAAAAATGCCGGTTAGGTACTAACTTATTCCAATAAACCCTCTTAATTATGTGAATGCACCTCAACTAGCAAAGAGTAAGTAAGTATACAGTGCTTAGGCAGCAGCAACCTTTATTGCCAAACTTGGCAACATTTGATTTTTGACCTACCAATAACTAACTAATTACATGCATATTGTCCTGTTGGCCCAATTCAACTTCACATAATTGCCAAACTTCCCAAGAATTTTTACTTTGAACACCTCCAAAAATTCAAACTTTGTTAAAATGGCACTAACTGTGCATAATTTAAAAGGCCAAACAGGACACAATTTCCTTTTTCTGCTTTATATAAACAAGTCCTTGGAAGGGTTGTATATAACCTCATTCCTTCATGCACTAGAGAAAAATAAAAAATAAAAATAGAGATAAAATGGCACAACAGCTCGAAAACGAATTCGTTTCGTCTAAAATCTCGGTGTTCAAACCTGGAAATGTTTCGGTAAAGACAATTAAAGTGAAGAAGCCATACTCTCCTGCCGAGCTTCTTGTTTTGGCTCCCGAAGCCGAAGGCAATTATCCAGTGCTGCTCTTCTGCCATGGTTACTGCACTAAGAACACTTGGTATTCTGACATCCTTCAGCATGTGTCTTCCCATGGATACGTTGTTGTTGCCCCTCAGGTTGGTACTTTTAATTCGTCTTGGTCTCGTTTGTAATCTCACACACATTAGTTTTTGCAAATGGATTGTCTTAATCTTTTGTCTATAACCCACTTGTCGAAAATGTTAGTTATTCTGCTTTTTGATTAATATACGTTTGCACGATGGTCAAATGAAATGGTCAACTCTGTATTTTCGCAGTTTTACCACTACCTGCTCATATCCGTGAACGATGAAATCAAGATGGCTGCAAAAGTGACAGACTGGCTACCTCAGGGCCTTTCGCTGCACCTCCCGGAAAAAGTGAAACCAAACCTCTCAAAACTTGCCCTCATGGGCCACAGCCGTGGTGGAAAAGTCGCATTTTCCCTCGCATTAGGCCATGAACAAACTTCCCTCGAATTCAAGGCCTTGCTTGGGTTGGACCCTGTATCCATGCCTAACCCACCGGCTTGGGTCGAACCGAAAATTCTTTCCTACGTTCCACACTCATTCAAAATCTCGATTCCTGTTGGAATAGTAGGCACTGGCTTGAGCAATCAAAAGAGGTGGGGTATTATTCCACCTCTTGCCCCTGATGGGTTCAACCACTCGGAGTTTTTTAACGAGAGCAAGCCTCCGTGCTGCTACTTTCTAGCTAAGGAGTATGGCCACTGTGACATGCTGAACGAGTCTAAGTTGGGTTTGACGGGTTTGGTGTGTAAAAGCGGGAAAGGTTCGAAAGAGAAGATGAGGAGAGGGGTTGGAGGGGTAGTGGTAGCATTCCTCAAGGCTTACTTGGGGGGTGAATTTGGAGGTCTTGAAAGTATTGTGGCTGAACCATACATTGCTCCTATTACTCTTGATCCTGTTATTTACCTCAAAGAGTGAATGATGTTTACTGGCTACCCACCCTATCACTCTTGGGTTTAAAAAAATGTATTTTTCATGAAATTCAAAATTTGCACTGTGTGTTTGATCTGTAATTTACATTTTCTGTGTGTTAAGATTCATGCAAAAATGGTTTCTTCACCATTTCTTGTCCATGCTTTTTGTATCTTAAGAGTATACTTAAGAATTATGGGGACCTCGCCTTCGCTCGTATGATCGTATCTTGTTCCGGAGGGGAATCGCCCGACTAATTTGGATCATCGACCTCTATTTCTGTAGCAGAGAATCATATTCGGAAAAATGTGTTTCGTTATCAAAAACTTTATCTAGCTGAAAATAAGAATGTGTTACACTATCGGAACATCACTACTGAGTATAATGCATTGCGCAAGTTTCCAGTTCCACTTATATATTAACAAATAAGTCCATCAAATTGTTTCATTCAAATCATGCAACAATCACTTATAAGCATGAACATGCACAATTTAACTCAAATTAGGAATTACATAATTCACCACTCCTTGATGTGGCAGCACATCATCAGTGGAGGCCTTAAATAAGTTGTCCAATGAAGCAAATTCAACCACACCAGGCCATATTGCAAAAGTAACATTATTTCTCGGTTGCCATCAATGGGACTGCGAGATCCAAACTTACCACTCTAACCAGCAGGCGATGTCAATTCACGCTTTACTGCCTCAGCAGTAGCTTCGTCCGAGCCTTGTTCGTTTGCCATCATGTCCTGTCCCCTGCTAGTAAAGATTTAGAATATTCTGATGTTTGCAAAGCCATCACTGGCTGATACCATAGGGGTTGAAGCTAAGGAACTATCAGAAGATGCCCCAAGTGCTGTATCATATTAGAGAACTTGAGTACGTTCTGGGTTGTAAAAACTTAAGGAATATTTTTATTCGGAATAAAATAAAAAAAAAAGAACTCAAACAACAAACTTTTTTTGCAAAAAATAATACATCAAATCATATTCATTTAATGCTAGCGTAAACTTAAATAAATTTATACTAGCATTTTACTTCATTCGACACCAAACACTCAGCAAATGTATGAGGTGTTACCCGATCAAGGCTAACAGACAAGAACTAAATTTACCATTATATGACCAGGAAATACAATTCACAATAGTGATACTAGTTATGATACGGTTTAACTGTTTATAATAGTGGATCAAAACTGCAGATGGAGCTACTACTCTAGAGAGAGTAACAAACATTTAATCAGAAGCTCCACAGGCGGATCTTCAATGACTTGATGTACTGCTTCAAGTGTTGATTCTGGCTGATTAATACTTGCTACAGCTACCGAACAAGTTTCTGGAGAGCCAGCCGAGGCCCCTTGTAAACCGACTTCAGCATTGCCAGAAGCAGATGGAGTCAAGGCGGCATCAGGTGAATCTGAATTTGGTTCACTACAGACTTCTTTTGTTGTGGTCCTTCCAGAAAGAGGATCGGTACAGGTGGCCACAAAAGCACAATCCACGTGAAGTTCAGCAGTCGAAACTGGTGCCTCGACTGGACTAGCTTGGTTTTCATGCTGAGCCATCTGAACTTCTCTACATTCATCACCGATGTTTTTCGTCAACTCAAAAGTGTTGTTTATCAATACTGAGGGCTCCGTCTGGATTAAGGTTTTTCAAAGAAACAATTTTGTCCCCTTCCTTGACAAAAGAAGATTCAGACAGTCCACTCAAATCAGGTAAAGGCACTGACGCAAGAGCTGAACCCGCCTGAACTTCAGCACAATCTGGAACTTGCACTCTGGCCTCCTCTGTTAGTAATTTGTCTTAGTAGTTTGACTTAGTATTTTATTGTTGAGTATTTAAATAAGTCTTTTTATCTTACCTTTTAGTAGTTGCTGATTTTTAGGATTCAGTTCAGATTATTTGGATTAGTTGTTATGTAGTGGAGTCATGCTTATTTCCTTTGTTTTCCTATATAAATATTCAGTATGAATAGAAGTATCAAATGCTTCCAAGTCCATATATTTTCTGAGTTATCTTTGTCTGTTCAAAGTTGTTCTTTTCAGTTTTAAGCCTTTATATCAATTTTTTATACTACAAATTGGTATCTAAGAGCTGAAAATCTTGAGGGACCTGTGAGTGAAAATGGACAGTGATACACAATCAGTTTATAGCCATCATGCTCCACCAGTTTTCGATGGACAAAATTATCAAGCATGGGCCGTTAGGATGACTGTGTATCTTGATGCTTTGGATCTTTGGGAAGCTATAGAAGAAAATTATGAGGTTCAACCTTTACCGGTGAATCCAACGGTTGAGCAGATAAAACTCATAAGGAGAGAAGAACAAGAAAGTCAAAGGCAAAAGCTTGTCTTTTCTCCGGGGTTTCAAGCACCATTTTTGCCAGGATCATGAATCTTGATTCAGCAAAAACAATATGGGATTATCTCAAGAAGGAGTATCAGGGCAGTGAAGAACAAAGAATATGCAGATTCTCAACGTGATTAGAGAATTTGAGATGATGAAGATGAAGGAATCGGAGATGATCAATGATTATTCCGACAAGTTGTTGGGAATTGTCAACAAAATAAGGCTTCTAGGTAAAGTATTCTCTGATGATAGAATTGTCCAAAAAATTCTTGTTACTCTGCCTGAAAAGTATGAGTCGAAAATCTCTTCACTAGAAGAGTCTAAGGATCTGTCAAGCATTTCCTTGGCAGAGTTGGTTAATGCTTTGCAGGCTCGGGAGCAAAGGAGGATGATGAGAAAAGATGGATTTTCTGTTGAGGGTGCATTAAAGGCAAAATCAGAAAATTCAGGCTGGAAAGACAAGAAATTCAAAGGAAAAATATAAAAGTAGCAAGTCCAGCAATGATAAGGATGTCAGTTCTCATTGTCCTCATTGCAAGAAGTCGAACCATCAACCAATGAAGTGTTGGTGGAGGCCCGATATCAAGTGCAGAAAGTGTGGGAACATGGGGCACATGGAAAGAGTTTGCAAATCCCAACAACCTGAAGCATCAAAGGCACAAACCGAAGAAGATGAAGAACAACTCTTTGTGGTCACATGTTTTGCATCTAAGAACAACTCATCAGAATCTTGGTTGATAGATAGTGGCTGCACCAATCACATGACTAATAATTTGGCTATTTTTATAGAGATAGACATGAGTTTTATCTCTAATGTAAGGATTGGAAATGGTCAGCTTATTCCAGTTAAAGGAAAAGGCATAGTGGCTATTGAGAGTTTGTCAGGTTTGAAACATATATATGATGTTTTATATGTGCCTGATATTGATCAAAACTTGTTGAGTGTTGGGCAGCTCCTTGAAAAAGACTATAAAGTCATTTTCGACGATAAGTGGTGCTTTATTAAGGATGCATTGGGCAAAGATGTATTCATGGTGATGATGAAGGCAAAGAGTTTCTCTCTAAATTTATTGGAGGATGAACAGGTAAGGTAACAGTTGCATGCCATCTCGACAATGCAGAATTGTGGCACAAAAGGTTGGGGCACTTTCACCATGCTGGCCTATTGTATATGCAGAGAAATGACTATGTGAAAGGTGTACCACTTCTTGAAGAAAAGTTGGCTGATTGTGTAGCTTGTCAATATGGGAAGCAAATCAGGAAACCATTTCCTCAAACCACATGGAGAGCATCTCACAAGTTGCAGCTGGTACATTCAGATGTTGGAGGACCTCAAAGAACATCATCTTTAAATGGTAATAAGTACTATATTACATTTATTGATGATTACACCAGATTTTGTTGGATTTACTTCTTCAAATCAAAGGCTGAGGTTGCTAATATTTTCTGGAAATTTAAAGCTTGGGTGGAGAATCAAAGTGATTGCAGATTGCGAACATTGAGGTCTGATAATGGAAAAGAGTACAAAAATACAACTTTTGATAAGTTTTGTGAAGATGCAGGTATTGAGCATCAACTCACAACTCCTTACACTCCTCAGCAGAATGGTGTAAGTGAGAGGAAAAATCGGAGCATCTTGGAGATGTCAAGGTGTTTGCTTCATGAAAAAGAATTGCCAAAGAATCTTTGGGCTGAAGCTGCAAGTACTGCAGTTTTTTTATTAAATAGGCTGCCTACAAAAGTTGTTGAAGGAAAGACACCATATGAAGCCTGGTTTGGTTATAAGCCAGATTTACAAAATTTAAAAATTTTTGGTTGCCTATGTTTTTCTCATGTCCCGCAGATTAAGAGAGATAAACTTGACAAAAAGGCAGAACCTGGTGTGTTTGTTGGATATAGCAGCACGTCTAAAGCCTACAGAATTTTCCAACCTCAAAATGGGAAAATTATTGTAAGTCGAGATGTCAAATTCATGGAGGACAAGCAGTGGAGTTGGGAAGAGAAAGAATTATAAGAATTCTCTGATAACTTTGATGACAACAATATAGATGATGTTCCAGTTCGTGGCACTAGATCATTATCTGATGTTTATGCAAGAAGCAATGTTGCTGTCTTTGAGCCCGCCGAATTTCATGAAGCTGAGAAAGATGTCAAATGGATTGAAGCTATGAAGGAAGAGCTTAGAATGATTGAGAAGAACGACACTCGAGAGTTGGTGGACAAACCCAAAGACAAAAAGATCATTGGCGTTAAATGGGTTTACAGGACCAAACTAAATGCTGATGGTTCTATAAACAAACACAAAGCCAAGTTAGTCGTGAAAGGCTATAGTCAAGTTTTTGGTGTTGATTTTTCTGAAACTTTGGCTCCTGTTGCACGTCTGGATACTATAAGAATGTTATTGGCATTATCTGGGCAAAATGACTGGAAATTCTATCAAGTGGATGTGAAGTCAGCATTTTTGAATGGTTTTCTTCAAGAAGAAATCTATGTTGAACAACCAGAGGGATTTCGAGTTAAGGGACAAGAGGAGAAAGTTTTCAAATTGAAATAGGCTTTGTACGACCTTAAACAAGCCCCTAGAGCTTGGTACAGTAGAGTTGATGATTATCTTCAGAGTCTTGGATTTGTGAAGAGTCCAAGTGAAGCCACTTTATATGTAAAAAAAATAAGATGCTAATTTAATTATAGTGTCTGTTTATGTTGATGATTTGCTTGTTACAGGAAGTGATGAGAAGCCGGTGAATGTTTTTAAAGCTGATATGTTCAAAACATTTGAGATGACATACCTTGGTTTGTTGTCCTATTTTCTGGGTATGGAGGTGAAACAAGGCACTGGAGAAGTTTTCATATGCCAACAGAAATTTGCAAAAGAAATTCTCAAAAAGTTTCACATGGAAGATTGCAAAGAAATCAGCACACCAATGAATCTGAAAGAGATATTAAGCAAAGAAGATGGAGCTGAAAAAGTTGATGAAGGATTGTACAGGAGTCTGATTGGTTGCTTGATGTATCTCACAGCCACAAGACCAGATATAACTTTTGTCGTAAGTCTATTGTCAAGGTTTATGAATTGTGCTAGTAAAATCCATTTTGTAGCTGCTAAGCGTGTGCTAAGATATGTTAAGGGCACAACTGATTACGACATCAAGTATTCTGTTCTTTACAATTTCCAGCTTCAAGGGTGCCATAATTTTCAATTCCAAGGTTTTTCTGACAGTGATTGGGCAGGTTCTATTGATGATATGAGAAGCACAACTGGTTATTGTTTCAGTTTTGGCTCAGGTGCTTTCTCATGGAGTTCTAAAAAGCAAGATGTAGTGGCTCAAAGCACTGCGAAAGCTAAATTTATTGCAGCAAATGCTGCAGTGAATCAAGCAATTTGGATTCGAAAAATTCTTGAAGATTTGCACATGAAACAAACTGAGCCAACAGAGATCTTTGTAGACAATCAAACAACCATTGCAATATCAAAAGATCCTGTTTTTCATGGAAAAACGAAGCACTTCAACATCAGACTTTATCACTTGAGGGAGAAGCAGAAGGATGGTGAAATCAAGTTAATTTTTTGCAGAACAGAGGAGCAAACTGCAGATATATTAACCAAAGCACTTCCCAAAGCAAGATTTGAAGAGTTAAGAGATAAGTTAGGTGATTGCAAATACTGAGGCAAGGAGGAGATTGTTAGTAATTTGTCTCAGTAGATTGACTTAGTCTTTTATTGTTGAGTATTTGAATAAGTCTTTTTATCTTATCTTTTAGTAGTTGCAGATTTTTAGGATTCAGTTCAGATTATTTGGATTAGTTGTTATGTAGTGGAGTCATGCTTATTTTCTTTGTTTTCCTCTATAAATATTCAGTATGAATAAGAAGTATCAAATGCTTCCAAGTCCATAGATTTTCTGAGTTATCTTTGTCTGTTCAAAGTTGTTCTTTTCAGTTTTAAGCCTTTATATCAATTTTTTATACTACATCCTCAACAGGGTTGCTACTCAATATTGGCAATGAATGGGAATATTCTGCTGTAACCAGAGTGATAAGGATATTTGACAAGTGGCAAGTGAGTGAACAGTGTTTTTTCTCAAGATGCATCTTCGGGTAAAAAGGTTTCTCGAATGGAATAAAATGGAAAAAGAAATCATATCGAAATGCACCCTAAGGAATCGTTCTCCCTTCATGCATACATAGAAAACCATACAAATCTACTTCCAATTGGAGACACCAAACAGTTTCAGGGGCAAACCAAAGTTCCCCCCATGTAAACTAACACTCATGGGTTAAGCTAAACACTAACGGATCTTTCGACCCTTTGGTTAAGGTAAACACTGATCGACATCGGAGCTGCTGGAGACGAGGGCTTGATTAGGGATCATAGCAGAGCTCTCATTACCGTCTTCCACGCCCCTCTTTAGGCCTCGTCGAGCTACGATTCGGAGGTTCAGGTGCTCCAGATCGGTCTTCAGATTGCAGCATCTATCTCCTCACATTTGGATAGAGCTAGACGCTGCCACTGTCGCTACCCTCTTAACCTCAGGCCACTAAGGCTCGTGGCAAATTCAACACATGTTTATGCGTATCAGATCCACACTTCAGTCGATTCACTATCGGATCTTGCACATCTTTCGCGAGGAGAAATGACCTACTGACTATTTGGATTATGGCCAGTCTAGGTGCCTCCATCCCATAGAGGCGCACATTCCACCTAGATGACGCCCCCAGGGACGGACCTGTATTAGGTCCAGAGGGGCTCGTGGGCTCCCCTCAATTTTTTTTTTTCAAATCATTATGTATATAAATAGTATAAAAAATGAATAAAAATATAAAAAAATATGTAGAATATATAAATAATTAAAACCTATTCGCAATGCTATTTTAATTTAAAGTAAATAATATTATTTATTTATTAAAAAATATACTAACAATCATTATTTTATATTTCTGGATCAAATTTTGAAAATACTTTTAATAATTTACTCTTTCTGCCTTTTAATTGTAATACAATCTAATGATTTATAAAACCTAGAGTTTAGTTGGATTGTTAGATTTTTGAATGTTAATCGATTATATATTTGAATAAAAATGATATGCAATATGTTCAATATAAATAAAATTTTGAACAAAAAAAAACTTATTTTTCATAAATTATAGATCTTCGACTTAAATTATAAATACATGAAATCTTATTTTTTTTTCCTTTAAAAAAAAGTTTAAGGGTGATACAGATTCTAAGTTCTTATAAAATTTTAAAGTACACATATTAATATCTATAATTATAAGTAAACACAACTTTATATGAAATGAGCATTTCTACGTAAATTACAAACTCATTATTTAACACTTAAAATCGAGCCTCCCTAAGATAAAATCTTAGCTCCGTCACTAGTCACACAACCTTTTAGGGGTGTATTTTTGTGCTTATTTTTGCAAAGTAAATTGTTTGTCTGGGCGGTGTCAACTCATGTTGAGACTTTTCTTTTTGGACTTGTGGTAGACCTTGATTTTTTGGCCCACTTATGGTTTGGACTTAATTAACACATGTTGGAGATCTGACCTGCTTACTACCCCTAGGGTGTTTTTCCAAAAAGAAAAAAATGTTTGATTTATTTAAAAACTTACCAAAGGATATGAGAAAATAAAAACGAAACATACATTTTTATTTAACCATTTTGTCGACGAGTTCAAAGATTGCACAAAAATGAGTGTTTTTTTATTTTTTTTTTTTT